GTATACTTGGGAAGATTTCAAGTTAAATTTTGTTAAATAAGTTTTTGAAGCCTTTCATTCACTTTTTACCTTTAGGGATACCAATAATTCATGTATTTGGTCACTGTGTTGTGTCACATATATCACAGAGGCTTTGTTTTTTCTTTTTCATTATTTTTTCTTTATTTTTCTCTGAGTTACATCAAAAGTTGTATCTTCAGGTTCTGAGATTCTTTTGTGTTGCTGTTGTTTTAGTTTATTGTTTAAACTCTTGATTGTACTTTTTATTTAATTAAAGAAGTTCTTCAATTCCAGATTTTGTTTGGTTCTTTTGTATGATATGTATCTCTCATAAATTTCTCCTTCAAATCTTGAACTGTTTTCTTCTGACTTTTTGTATTATTTTTTGAAATTCTCTTGTATCTCACTGTGTTTCTTTAGTGTCATAATTTTGATTTTTTTCCCTGTGATTTCACACATTTCTTTTTGATTGGGATATGTTGCTGGGGAATTATTGTGTTCCTTTGGAAGTGTCATATTTCCCTGTTTTTCATGTTTCCTTACATTGATAACTGTGTATCTTGTGTAATATTCACTTATTCTAATTTTTTGAATTTGCTTTCACAGTAGAGGATTTTTTCCTGAAGATGTGTCATAGTGTTGGTTAGTAGGACCCTTTGCATTTGATTCTGAGTGCATGCAGTGGTGCAGTCCCTGTATGATTTATTCGGCTGTCAACAGCATCAGTGGTATCTATGATTTCCCAGTGGTTTAGAGTGTGGTTAAGAGTAGAGGCTATGGTGAAGTTTTGCTCAGGGACAGGGATTCCAGATGGGTTAGTCTTTGGTCCCCAGTGGTGGCAGCAGTGGGATGAGTATGCCTGTTCTTGTGCCGCTGTGTACAAGATACTTGCTCTGGTATTAGCAGGACCAGGCAGGCCAATTCTTGGGCTTCTAGGTAGTTTACTTAGATCATGGTAGTGACACTGGTGGATCAGGCAGGTGAGTGAGTTCTTGATTCCCTGGGTAGGTGGCGTGGTGTAGGTAGTGGCAGTAGCAGTTGTGGGACAACCTTCTAGGTCCTGAGCCGTGCATGCTGATGTTGGAGATAGCTACAGTGCAGTCTCCACCTGCAGCCCCAGTCATGCAGCTCTCAGGCTTGCCTGTTCTCAGTTGTAGCAGCACTGCAGTGGTGCACATAAAGGTAAGCAGCCCTGCCCTTTGCACATGAGCTTGATCATGGAAGTCATTCAACCAGTAGGAGTGTGGTCACTATCCAGGCCCACTCAAGGAGCCATCCGGTTCACCTGCCCTAGCCTCCAGTGGCAGCAGCGGTGACTGAGCCTGCAGAGGTATGCAGAGTGGGAGAGAGAATCCCTGTGCATGAAACTGAACACAGAGGCCACTCCACCAGTGGAAGTGGGGTCACTGCCCTCAGCCCCAGATAGCTGGCTCTCATTTGGATTCCCAGTGGCAGCAACTGCTGCTGCAGTGTTAGGTGGGGGGTGTGAATGGATCTCACTCTGCTTGCAAGCCTGAACACAGAGTTTGTGCTACTGGTGAGGCAGGGTTTCTTCTCATAGCCCCAGACAGGAAGCTTTCAGGGTCTGGAAAGTGCGTGCCTTGGTTTCCTTTGTCCCAGAGACTGCAGTGTTAATGCACTGCACCATCTCTTTTCTGGGAAGTAATACTACTTGTGGGCCACAGTACTGGGGCCCCGTAGCACCTTTGTTTCCAACAATGCTATGCCACTGTAGCCCGCCGGGTAGGCGCTAGGGAATGTCAGTGGGGGTTCCTGGGATATGGAGATATGAAGGCTATGTTTCTAAAGGGAGGATGTAACCCCATGATGGCTGTACTCTCACAATGGTACCCTGCTGTAGTTGCTTAGGTCTCAGGGGTGTGAGTGAACCAGCAAAAGTTCTCTGTCTGGTACAATGTCCTTTGGGGGTCTCTAGCTCACTGTCCATGTTAGTGTCAGGAAGTATGTGTGTCAAGGAGCTCTGCCATGGTTCAGGTTGTTGCAGTCCATGGTAGGAACATAGACCACTGAAGTTCTTACACCCTTTCCCTCAACAGCAAGCCCCTATGTGTTCCCAGCCGATTTTGCTTCCCTTCTGTATTAGTTGATTCTCACGCTGCTATAAAGAAGTACTTGGGACTGGGTAATTTATGAAGAAAAGAGGTTTAATATTCTCACAGTTCCACAGGCTTAACAGGAAGCATGACTGGGAGGCCTCAGGAAACTTATAATCATGGCAGAAAGTGAAGGAGAAGCAAGCACATCTTCACATGTTAGAGAAGGAGAGAGAGAGTGAAAGGGGAAGCACCACACACTTTCATACAACCAGATCTCACTGTCACAAGAAATGCAAGGGAGAAGTCCACCCCCGTGGTCCAATCACCTCTCACTGGGCCCCTCCCCTGACACGTGAGATTATAGTTCGGGATGAGATTTGGGTGGGAACACAGAGCCAAACCATATCACCTTCTGTGTCTCAAGTATTTCCTGTAACTTCTCTATTGTACTCCAGTGTTCTCTCCTAGTTGTTCCATCTGAGGTGTGATTATTGATTCATAATTTTGGCTCTTCTTTCTGGAGAGAGTGAGTATGCAGTGTCTCTAGTCAGCTATCTTCAACTGGAGTCCCAAGATTTAATATTTTTAAAGCTTGCTTTTTATTATTCTAGTTCGTATAACTATCTATTGGAAATAAGCATACTCTATAAGTACTTTGAACCCAGGCAAGAAAACATTTTACTTGTCCTCCTTGCCTTTGTAGGGTTTTCATTACATATCTGAAAGACTATTGGAAATCTCCCTTTTGTTCTTTTCTTTTTGATGGAATGCTTTATTAAAGGATATTATCATAGAGGCATCACCCACTCTATATGCATTGTTTTGTTTCTCCTTTGGAGAAGTAGCTCAGGGTTGAATAGATCTAGAAATATATGATCCACAAATATTATTTCTTTTATGTTTTGTTTACATTCTTTCCTTTCTATCTAGCTCTAAGTGTACAATATTCTTAATGATTGAATTCTGTTTACAGAAGTATAGAGAATAACATAAAAGCAACAACAGTTTTATATGTATTACATAGAAATATATGCAGTGATCGTCAAGATTCTATGCAGGAACCAAAAACATACAACTATTAAAATACAACACATGATAAATATTATCCAGCCTTCAATTTTACAGCCAGCTAAAAGGGTCAGAAAAAAGAGAAGAGATGAAAATAGAAAGAGAGGAGGAGGAGGTAAAGGTCAAATGAAGGAAATGTAGGAGAGCTCAGAAAGAGAAACTGACAAGCTAAAATTCAATGTAGGAGGCAAAGCTTGAGTTGTCAGACAACAAAGAGAATATGTACACAAATAATACATGAAGAACAATACATAGAAAATCCAATATACAATATGGAAAGGAAGATTTGTCAAAAATTTGACCTTCAAGAATATTAAGATGAAAGCTTTTAAAATCATTTTCAAGTATAGCTATAACTAAAGATAGTCTCTGGGTCAGGTAAAATCCATGACCAAATTGAGGTATAAACACAGATGTTATTCATACTGACATGCTTGTCATGTATTTTCTATTTTGTCCCCTGTTACATTTTTGAATATTGTATTCCTTTCAGTATTTATCTATAGTCCTTGAAAAATATTAACTTATCCCCCTTCTGATCAGTTATTCATTCATTGTCTATATCTATGAGAATAGTTTCCTTTAATTCTGTCATCTAGAGTATTTCATTATTCTTTTAAATATTTTTTTCACATTTAACTTCAGCATCGTAGAGAAACACAGTACTATAACAAAGCTGTTTGTATGAAGAGACCCCTTGGGCATGCCTTATAAACATGTTATTTTTATATACTTCAGAAGTCTACAAATGTATATGTTTATACTTTATGGATACATTTATAAATATTAATGATGCATTCTCAAAATTTATTAGTAATGATAGAGGTTTGTAATAAAAAATGTGGAAATCACTGCCATAGTAGAAAGCTCATGGCTTTTGGAGCAGTACATACATTCCTGGGTTCAAATTCCAGTAATGTTACTTATTTACTTTATAGTGTTGGATGATGCACTGAGATTTCGTTAGATTTATCTTTCTAATTTTATTTTCTTTTTACATGTATATTGTTACGTGATACCCTGCGTTGCTGTTAAGAGGATTTGGAGATACATACATACATACATACACACATACACACACACACACACACAGGATAATGACAGCTATTGCTGTTATTTGGGTCTTCTCCATAATTTAGAAACTGTATTCCATTTATTTCTATAGTTAATGTGTTTTTTATAATTTTCTGTAAAATGTTGCAAATTATTTTTGCAGACATTCCATTTTATGTAGTCTGTGTAAAACAAACTATATGTTTACTAATCTTACAGATGTAAGGTTTTGCACTGCTTATTTAATAATGACCCCGTGAGAGGTCTTTTTTCTTGAGGGAATAAGGAGCTTAGCTCAGCATATTATGCAGAAGTAGGATAGTTCTCAACACTATGTAATGTGATGGTCCTCAAACTGTTGACTGATATGCATAGAAAGAAATACCCTTTGCATTGCAATCCAGATAACATAATATATATTCATTTATATACTGAAACAAGGAATTGTACAATAAACTATGTTTTGTTTTTTCTTCCCTTTTATTTTATTTAAAAATCTCCTGTCAATTGATTTCATGACTCACTTAAAGAGTATAACTTGTAATTTGAAAAACACTGTTCTAAAGGACATAGAACAAAATATCATTTAGTGTTGGTCATTATATGTAGTATAGAGATGATTTATAAAAGTTTTTTGGCTGAGCTAGCATTTCAATCTTGATATAAATGTTTTAATGTTATTTCAAAACCACATAATGTTGAACAAGTTTAAAATTGTTTTCTCAAAAGAAAATGTAATAAAATAATGGTTGATTTTTCTTATGGTTTTTAAACATTTATTGATGTAACATAAAACTGCATTTTTCTTTTCTCTTTTGACAGATTGGCTATTTGGTCTTCTTACGACTTTTTATATTTTTCCTGCATGGTCATCTAGAAAGTTTTAAGCAACATTTACTTAGGCTTCAACCACATTTATACGGTAGAATATCTTTTATTTTTTATACTTATAAATGTTTTATGTTATATTTTGAGAAACTTAGACTGTCACTATAAAGAATGTAAGCTGCATTTTATTTTTCATAAGATAATAGGTGCAGTGTTGAAGAGCACAGCTTCAGGGCCAGATTGCATTTGTTCAGCTCACTGCCCCTCCAACCCCCATACTTTTGTTATTTCTTTGTGGTGAGAACATTTAGAACCTGACTCTACTTTTTTCCCAGCAATTTTGAAAAGTGCAGTACATTATTATTAACTATAGTTATCATGTCGTGAAATAGATCACTAGACCTTATTCCTTCTATCTAACTGAAGCTTTGTACCCTAATATCTCCCCTTTCCCCATCCATTCCTGCAACCTACTCCCTGCTCCAGATGCTGGTAATCCTCATTCTGTATTCTGCTTTTTACTTTGCCACTTAAGTGTATGAGCTTTTTTGTGACTCAGTTTTCCTATTTGTAATAGTATCTACCTCCCTGAATTTCAGGAAAGTTAGATTCATATTTTAGTAAGGTTCTGGACCTGGTGATCCACTGAATCTAAGCTATATGTAAATAAGAGTGGGAAATTCAAGCAGGAGCTGAAGTTTTGCATATTGAGTAATAGAATTGAGATGATGTTCTGAACTAGGAATAATTTGGAGAAATATTGGACATACTGAATTTGAAGGTCACTCAGGTATATATACCCAACAAGCAGTTGAAAACATAGGTTTGGAACTAGGGAAATAAGTGAAGCCTGCCTGGGATATAGAATTGACAGTCATCCATGTTAATGTGGCTGTGGGCAAGGGGCAGGGAGAAACTAATTCCAGGAATGAAATCTTGGGGAACATACATTTAATGGATTATTGGTGTAACAGGGCCCAGGAAAAGAGAAATAAGGGAGGTGAGAGGGAGTGATTATGTTTAAGGAGAGAAATTCAAGATCAATATTGCCATAGAAGTATTAAATAGTAGAAGGTCTGAAAAATAATGAGTTTCTACAATCAGAAAATCACTGCTGATCTTGGGAGCATACCCAGTGGAGAGGTGGAAGCAGAATTCAGATTGGAGGTAAACAGTGAGGGAAATTTTAAGCATAAGTCAAAAATTGTTAACTATTTCAAAAAAAGCTTAGCCATAAATATTTATGGTGATATGTAAATATGTCAATAGTTTAGATGGATAAAACAAAGTCAAAATATTAGTGTGTTGTAGGATAAGGGAAGGAGAGACTCAAGATAAAGAAAGGGAATAATATTTGATGAAAAAAGTCATGGAGGAGGGAACAGAAGGTAATAGCAGAAGCGTTATGGAGACTGATCAATTAATTCCATTAGCGTAAGTCCTGATCAGATGTGGCTGTAGACAGATAGAATAGGAATTCTTGTCTAACATTTCACTTGTTTTTATATCTTCATTAAATTATATGACCCCTTCTTAACTCCTCACTGTGTTCAGCATAGTGACTTATCAAATATTCAGATGATTATGGCAAATCAACTTTGAAAAATTATTTGAGTAAAACCCTCAAGTTCTCATATTAGCTTGTTATTGAGGATATACCACCCTCAAAAAAATCTGTCTTTCATATATAATAATAAAATCCCCCAATTTTGTCCTCTTACCAAATATAATAGAGCCTTAGGTTACAGCTCTTCCTTTAACAATAGGCTGTTTTCTACCTGAAGCTATCAGCAGCTGCTATCTCTCCACATAGCTGTCCAGTAGAATGGTCATTATTAATTTTTCCATTATGTGGATGGACTAAAACCCAAAGTTTGTCTAAAAGTTTATAGAAAGAGCAGCACTGAGATGATTCTGTTAAATATAACGTGGTGTTGTGTTAAATTACCTTATTGTTGTAAATAATAACATCTTGTTTGTATTATTTACAACATGTTGTTGTAAATAATAACATCTTGTTTGTATTATTTACAACATATTGTTGTAAATAATAACATCTTGAGAAGGAATAAAACTGGAGAATGTAGGTCTAGAATCAATGACATTGATTCCTTTGTAGAATTACAATGTCAAAGTATCCATTATGAATGCAGCATCTATTACAACTTGATTTATTTTCATCTGGAAGTTTCCAAGCTTTGTTGAACAGTAACTATATTTAATTGGGCATTCAATGATTATGAAATTGCTGTTCTGAAATATATAAACTCTTACGTATAAATTATTTACTGTCTAGTGTTCTATTACACCACCAGGGGGCATACATAACACTATAAATCTTAAATAGGAAACTACAGCAGTTTCTGCATCTAAGTACTGAATTTAATCATAGTTTAATAGCTAAAAGACAAATGAAACACAATGCAAAATATTAATAAAATATTTCTCACAGATGATTTTTCTTACAATAGCACTTTCTTTCTCTGGAGCATCATATCACAAGTATCCAAACATCTTTTCAAATGTGCAATTCATCCTGAAAGCCTCAGAAATTATAGGTAAAAGAGAACTCCGTTCTGAATCAATTTTTAGCCCTGTGGAAAATAAGAAAAGACATGAGAACACAGATTCTGATATGGTGGGTAATCTAGTATGGTGAGTATATCCTGTTGTATGATACATCAGATATGATTACTATGATTAAGTAATGGTGCTTGTCAATACAGTAGGCATTGAGGAATGATGCATTTAGCTGTGGAGGAGGGGTGAACAGCAAAGACACAAATTTCATGCAACCATATGCACAGTTCCTGGAGAGTAGTTAATAGGATGAGTACTGAGGTATCTGTATATAACACTACTACTTTAAATGGAGTAATGCCATAACACCTTCTTCTTCTTAAGTTCCATCTCACCTACTTAACTAAAAATTACAACATAATTTAGACTGACTTGTAAGTTAACATTTTAAGATATTATATTTTTATTAAAGGGAAAGTGTGTACAGAGCAAGTTATTTATGAAAGCAGGCATAGAATTTTTATGCTTTCATAATTCATATGAAATAACATTCAATGGCCAGGCGTGGTGGCTCACGTCTGTAATCCCAGCATTTTGGGAGGCCAAGGCGGGCGGATCACCTTAGGTCGGGAGTTTGAGACCAGCCTGACCAACATGCAGAAACCCCGTCTCTACTAAAACTACAAAATTAGCCAGGTGTGGTGGTGCATGCCTGTAATCCCAGCTACTCAGGAGGCTGAGGCAGGAGAATCGCTTGAACCAGGAGGTGGAGGTTGCGGTGACCCGAGATTGTGCCATTGCACCCCAGCCTGGGCAACAAGAGTGAAACTCCATCTCAAAAAATAAATAAAAATAAAATAAAAAATATCTCACACCAGTTAGAATGGCAATCATTAAAAGGTCAGGAAACAACAGGTGCTGGAGAGGATGTGGAGAAATAGGAACACTTTTACACTGTTGGTGGGATTGTGAACTAGTTCAACCATTATGGAAAACAGTATGGCGATTCCTCAAGGATCTAGAACTAGATGTACCATATGACCCAGCCATCCCATTACTGGGGATATACCCAAAGGATTATAAATCATGCTGCTATAAAGACACATGCACACGTATGTTCATTGCGGCACTATTCACAATAGCAACCCAAATGTCCATCAGTGACAGACTGGATTAAGAAAATGTGGCACATATACACCATGGAATACTATGCAGCCATCAAAAAGGATGAGTTTGTGTCCTTTGTAGGGACATGGATGCAGCTGGAAACCATCATTCTTAGCAAACTATCACAAGAACAGAAAACCAAACACCACATGTTCTCACTCCTAGGTGGGAACTGAACAATGAGATCACTTGGACTCGGGAAGGGGGACATCACACACCGGGGCCTATTATGGGGAGGGGGGAGGGGGGAGGGGGGAGGGATTGCATAGGATTTATACCTGATGTAAATGACGAGTTGATGGGTGCAGCACAGCAACATGGCACAAGTATACATATGTAACAAACCTGCACGTTATGCACATGTACCCTAGAACTTAAAGTATGATAATAATAAATTTAAAAAAAAAGGGGGATTTGTGGAAAGAGAAGTAAATTTAAAAAAAAAATAAAATAAAATAAAAAATAAATAACATTTAATATGCTATTAAAGTCAACTGAAAACTTTAAAAAATAGTTTAAATGGGCAAATGATAATAATCTTTAGATTATGATAAATCTCTTAATTTCTAACCCAGATATTAGTAATCTTTAAAAAAAGCCCTAATTAAATAATTTGTTGGTATTTAATAAACAGTACTATGTAAACACAAGTACAGTGAGCCATATAATTGTGCATATACCTTATTGATTAATACACTTCAAAAGACAAATTTTAATCTCTGGGGCTAATAATGCCTTTCTTTCCTCACATATTTTCCAAAAAAGACCAGCAAGCATTTCATAACCTTCTTTTATTTTTTGTTAAACATATTTATTATTTTATAGCTTATAAATAGAAAATTTGTTTTTCTTACAACTTCTAAAAAAGGAAAAATACATTTAACATTACACAAGTTGAAACACCTAAGGAAATGTGAGGAAGATTCTCTTTTTAGATGATATTGTGTGTTACCTTATAATTTTCCCATGCTTCCTGTGAGCCCTTTCTTTTTTTTTTTTTTCTTTTTTTTTTTTTGAGACGATCTCGCTCTGCCGCCCAGGCTGGAGTGCAGTGGCCGGATCTCAGCTCCTGCGCCCCTCCAGCCCTTCCCCCGAGTAGTTGGGACTACAGGCGCCCGCCACCGCGCCCGGCTAGTTTTTTGTATTTTTTAGTAGAGACGGGGTTTCACCGTGTTAGCCAGGATGGTCTCGATCTCCTGACCTCGTGATCCGCCCGTCTCGGCCTCCCAAAGTGCTGGGATTACAGGCTTGAGCCACCGCGCCCGGCCCCCTGTGAGCCCTTTCTAAAATCAGCTATAAATTAAATATATAAGAAAAAACATTCAAACACATCTATTTGTAAGAGAAAATACTTTCTGGGCCTAAGTGTTTTCTCTTTGGCACATTACTGGTTCACCATTTATGTAACAAGTGACATTTACCAAGTAATTTGAGCCTTCTGTTTATAATTACTAATGAGCACAAATTGCCTCGTGAGAAAGGATCTGTTTTTAAGTGTAAAAAAATGTTTTAACAGTAAATAGATAATGAAAGATATCGAGCAACAGAAGGAGCACTGATCATGAAGAGAACAGACCTGCTTATGAACTGGTTCTGTGATCTAGGAGAGGCCCACCGATCTCACCAAACTCCATTTGCGTATCTTTAAAAAGTCGTCATTATTGTCATAGTCATCATCATCATCATCATCATCAATCTGTCTGAACTCTTTTACAGCATTGTTATAAAGATTGCAAAAAAAAGCATGTGCTTTATAAAAGTATTAAATGCCATGCAAACATGAAAAATAATTATTGAAAATATGTATTTAGGACCTCACTTTACCCTAGACAGTGAACTATAGTATTTTCATCTAAGGATGTAAGTATGTTGACTTACTGTTGTGATTGGAATGTTTTTCCTTTAAACAAATAAGATTCCATGAAATCTTAGCAACGTGAATGGTCCAGTTATGAGGTAGGCAACTGTCAATGTTGATTCTGATGCTCTTTAAGAATGAATCCATTTTGTCTCTCTTGGTGCACACACACAGCAAGCAAATGGAAGCTTACTGCTGTACAGCTCAGCCTGAATTAGAAGGGGCAAAAATGTCAATACAGGAAAGGAACATATCAGCTTAGAGTTAGACAAGTCACTAAATCTCTCTGTGCTTTTTTCCACTTTGTAGAACAAAGCTGAGATTCAACCTCTTCTAAATTCTATTTCAGCTCTATCCATGTGATCCCGTAAGGGGATTATAACAGAGTTTGGCCTATCAGGTTTATTGCCCTTCTTTTTCTCCTCCTCTTATCTCATAATATAAAGATATAAATATAGGATAGCATAGCCACAGTGCTGCTAAAAATACTGATTTGGCTAATCAGCACTCAGTCAGTGCTGGACTGCATATCTTAAAGTTCCCCAGTTTCAGCCCAATTTATCCAGTACAGCTGGCCTTTCCAGTTCAGTTGAGTATTTACTCATTCAATACCCATCTCTCTCACCTGGGAAAGGAAAGAGGAAAAAAGATATAAAAGTGATAGAAATGGAAATATAAGAGATACATTTGCATCAATCTCTTCTCCTTTCCTTATGATTGTTTTAGTATATTATAGCAGAGGATTTGTGAATTTATTCCTACTGCCCTTATCATTTGATAATGCTAAAAGGTCTATAGCACATATTTTGGCCACTGTAAAATATTTGATTTTTAGTATTCTTATATGCATTGGAACAAAGTCATAATTACTTAATTTGTTGTCAAAGTGCTACCAAAATTGCACGGAAAGTTCTATAGGATATTACGATACATTAGGATACACACCATATGAGCATGGGTTCCACTTAAGAATAGGAAATTTCCTTTCCTCTGCTGTTGGACCCCATTTCTCTTTTTAATGTCTTTTTAAGTGAGCCAGACACAGGGTTTCCATTGACTTTGACAAATGGTACACTTAATTAGCTCTTTGGATAGCAGAGCCAGAATGCTGGATTGAGTTTTCCACTCTGTCCTTTGCTCACTAGCAAAGCTGAATTTTCTAAGCAGAGTTGTCACCTGGTAGTAATAATAGTTATTTGGAGAATGTAGATTTAAACCCTGCTACAATGAAGTAGACCTTTTATTAAATAGTTTCATCTGTTCTGAAGAACAAATAGTTCTCTGAAAACTAGCAAACACAGAGTTTACATTCTAGTATGATTAGCAATCTCATTCTCTAACACTTTTTGGTAAGCCAAAGTCATTACCTAATTTTGGGACATTTTGTGTTGTCCTGTAATTGTAAATGGTTACTAGGAATTATTAGACTGAGACATAAATTCCTTAAAATTAGGAGCATTATCCTATGATTCATGTCAAATTACCCAGGTAACACTTCGTATTGGGAGATCCTTTCATGGCAATGTCAACGATCCCCCAAATGACTGAAAACTACATGAAACCCAGAAAGCTGTCCCTGAACAGCCAAAATAGAGCCCATGCTTCAAAGCTCATTTCTGTGATAAAAGAAAGCCTAGTCAGACACTCAGAATTTATGTACTTAAATTTGCATAAAATCTAGGCTGGTGTTGTTAACTGAATTTTCAGCCAACAGTAGATTAACAACACTTTTGTAGGTGGGCTTCTCAAAGTAGGCATTGTTCCAGCTACAAATGACAGCCCAAAGCTGGACAGCAAGGGAGGGAGATGAAAGAACTGTGGAAAGTGGTTATAAAAGCCAAAAAAGAAAGGAAGAAAGGGAAGTAAGAAGGGAGAGAACAAAGAGAGGGAGGGAAGGAGAGAAAGAAGGAAGAAAGGGAGGGGAAAAAAGTTCTCTGGGAGTCATTTAGGGCGGTGCTTTTCAAACTATCTGTGGTAAAAGATCTCTCCTAATTTATTTTTAAATTTCCAAGCCATCACAGATGGATAATTTTGTAAAATATAATAATAATAATAATAACAAATTACTGAAAACTAGAATAGAAAAGACGAAAAAACACAAGCTTTAATTTTTAATAGACTGAATATATATATAATTATTTTTCAAATTGTTATGAAAGTTTCTAAATACATATTTTTCATTTTTTGTGCTCTCATTAATAGTTCGCAAATGGCAGTTATCTGCCAACCACACCTTGAGCAGGACTGACTTAGGGTAAAGGCACAGAACTCCAAGAGTAAGCAACATTGCTCACTCTTGGTCTTCTGCACTGATGATATACATGATGATTGTATTAAATCACATAGTCATCATCATTACATTAATTCATTTAAGTTTGATAAATTTATTTTTTATTTGGAAAAATGTTTCTTGCTGAAGAATGCTCGATGGGCCAGGCGTGGTGGCTCACGACTGTAATCCCAGCACTTTGGGAGGCTGAGGAGGGTGCATCACCTGAGGTCAGGAGTTCAAGACCAGACTGACCAAAATGGTGAAACCCTGTCTGTACTAAAAATATAAAAATTACCTGGGTGTGGTGGCAGGTGCCTGTAATCCCAGCTACTTGGCAGGCTGAGACAGGAGAATTGCTTGAACTGGGGAGGCGGAGGTTGCAGTGAGCCGAGATCACACCATCGCACTCCAGCCTGGGTGACAGAGCAAGACTGTGTCTCAAAAGAAAAAGAAAAAAAAAAAAAAAAAAGAATGCTTGAAATACATAAAATCCCTGAGACTAAATAATAAGTCCTACTTATCTGGAAAATTCACAGGTGTGGCAGGTTCCTTTCCTCTTGATGATCCCAATGTTCTACTGCCAAAGACCACCGGGAACACATCTGCAATTAGGCATATTGGGTTTATTACTTGTTGCAGAGAAAGAGAGAGAGAGAGAGAGGGAGAGAGAAATACATACTACAAGGAACTATGGGATGTCTTAATAAGAGAGTGTTAGAAGGAATCTACTAGAGGACTTGGACTTTATTTGGATGATCTTGGGAAGACTCTAAGGAAGCAAGGGTTCTCTCTAGAGGTCTGATGCTGTCAAAAAGTGGGGGCAATTCTATGAGTAGGTATTTTTTGGGTGGCACAGTGACTTTGTTTATATCTGTGCTTAGAAAAAAAATTGTCCAGTGGCTTTGTTTATTTCTTATGGTCTCAGAGTAATATTGTCTGAAATTGCTATTTTTTGAGTTTATGTCCAATAGGAGATCAAAATCACCTGGCTGTATCAGACTGGCTTGTAATAGTATGTCAAATCAATCCCAGACATGAGAGGATGCTTTTTATTTCTCCGCGATGTGTAAAATTGGCATAATATAAAATTGAAGATAAAACTCAAATCTTGTTCATTGTCTAAATCCTGATTTTTTTCTTTACCAAATGCTTTCTGAATTTTCTCTGATGATGGTACATAAATACATTAATGCAAGAATGGTTGACCTAATTGAATAGTTTATGTAGTCCTATAATATCTATGATTAAAATAATATTTATTATAAATTAATCATTCAAGTCATTCCAAAGTTTTAAAACATATTTATTTACTTATTTATTCAAAATAAGTTTGCAATCTGAGGATTGTCAGGCATCCAGGCTGAGACAACTAGAGCAATTTGAGAAAAGAATTTCATTTATATGGGTTCCAGTTTTGGGGTAGACCCTACCCATAAAGCAGAAATTGAGTTATATGTGGATTTGCTGAAGTCAGTATGTCTCAGACTAATGCTTTACATTATTTTAGAATAGTGCTTTTGTGTGGTGTATTCTAATACTCTAAACACTGAATTGTTTTCATTTGCTTTTCTGAATTATTGTTCCCCAGAGTCAGTAGCTTTGTACAGATGTTGTCTTCCTCATGCCTTTATCTCCAGAATCTAACAGAATTCCTGACATAAAGTAGATAAATACACAACTATGGGACTTAACTAAATTCTTTATTAGAAACTTAAAATAGCTTAAAATTTATGTATGAACTTCTTGCCTTCTATCTGAAAAGTACTCAACATAAAATTAAATTGTAGTCCTGATGTTGTTTTATATAATATATAAGAATTATGAAGCCCTTTAGATTCTGTTTCATTTTAACATAAAAATCACAAAGTATCAACTAAGTTAACAATTGGAGTACCTATCACAGGATGTGTGTTTGAATCTTCACTGTTGGCAAAAATTTAGAGAATGCTATGTCATCATTTTCTACCAATTACTTTAGTAGACCAATTAAATGTATAAAACTGTTGGGAAGCACTCTAAGAAAAAAACTAAACAGCTTATTTGTTATCTGAATTTTTAGACTTTAAGAATAGCTACTTAACAGACATTGACGATGTCTTGCTAGGCATATATTTTGGTCCTTAAAGTAGAAATCCACATTTTAAAACATGATTTACTGTTAGTGTTTTGTTCAAACTTTCCCCATTCCTTCTTTCTCAAGTGTCAGGGAGAACTAAGTCACATAGAATCTACGAACCACAATTGTGTCTAATAGCCATCTCTTATGGGATCCAGAATTTTTGCCATATTGTAGAGCTGACATCATTGAACACAAGGGACCCATGTGAAAAATACATACGTTAGGTTCAGGTTAACTATATGTACTTCAAAAATATGCTTATGTAAATTGCTCCACTTGGTGAAATATAAAGTGTAAGAGAATATGAATTTTCATTTGTATATTTAAAATTTATTTTCATGTTTGTTCAAGTCAGAGTATTCTTTCTCAGATATATTTTTATATTTTAATTCCTGAAACATTTGCAATTTAATCAGGGAGGATATGAAATTAACCACCTGCTCTGGCACTGTGTTGCTGCTTGGTCTTGTGTTCAGAATAACAGTCCTCAGTTGAATAATGTGCTTGAACATCTCATCTTCCATAAGACACAGCTTCAAAAGAAATGCTGGTAAGAGTGATCCTATAAATCCAAAGTAACTCATGGAGAAATCTTTGTGCTTAAATGTTAAATAACCCTTGTACCTAAATGTTAATCACACCTCAGTTGACTATGAAACAAATTTATAATCTCAGTTCCAAAGGCAAGGGCAATTTACATGTTTAGTATTAATTCATTTCATCAATACATTGTTTCTCTCTTTTTCTGTTTTGCTAGATATGCATGCATGCACTGCATGGTTTTTTTTTTTTTTATTAAATGCAGTTTTTATTGACAAGAAATTTATTCCTGCTTTGCAAACAGCCTTTATATTCCAAGTTGTTAAACAGAAGCAGCGAAGTACAATATACTGTTGGAGAAAATATACTGATACTGTATTTCTTTATGCCTTACTTATAATGTATAACAAAAATGAATCTTAAAAAAAATTTTTTTTGGTCTCACTCTATCACCCAGGCTGGAATGCAGTGCGGCAGTGCCGCGATCTCAGCTTACTGCAACCTCCATCCCTGGGGCTCAAGTGATCCTCCCAGCTCAGCCTCCCAAGTAGGTGGGACCACAGGCATACACCACCATGCTGGCTATTTTTGTAGGGTTTTTTTTTTCTTTCTTTTTATTTTTTAGTAGAGACAGGGTCTTGCCATGTTGCCTAGCCTGGTCTCTGGTCTCCAACTTCTGACTTCAAGTGACCTGCCTACCTCAGCCTCCCAAAGTTCTGGGATTACAGGTGTGAGCCACTGCACCCATCCAAAAATAAATCTTGACTGACAAATATTAGTTTTCTCCTATACATATGTTAATTTAAGATGAGAAAAAGAAGAGTCATAGTTTTGGCATGAGTTCAGTGTAGGAAAGATTTTTTAAATTGACAATAATTTTATATATTTATGAGGTACAATGATATGTTAGGATATATGTGTATCTTGTGGAATGAGTAAGTCAAGCTTATTAACATATCCATCACCTCACATCCTTATCAATTTTTGGTTGTAAGAACAATTAAAATTTACTCTATTAGCATTTTTGAATTATGCTTTTTTTTATCATAGTCACAATGCTGCGCAATAGATCACTTGAACTCATTCCTCCTGTCTAACTGAAACTTTGCACTCTTTGACTGACATCTCCTCTTTTCTCCATCTTCCTTACACTCCATCCCAAGCCTTACACCATTCTACTATCTAGTTCTACAAGTTCAGCTTTTATAGATTCCACATGCAAGTGAGATTATGCAGTATTTATCTTTCTGTACAATGCTTATTTCATTTAGCATAATGCCTCAATGTCCATTCATGTTTTTATAAATGACAGAACTTTCTTCTTTTTAAAGACTGGATAGTATTCCATTGTGTATATATACCATACTTTATTTATTCATCAGTCAGCGGACACGTAGGTTGATTACATATCTTGGCTATTGTGAATAATGCTGCAATGAACATAGTTCAGTTATCTCTTCAACATACTGAGTTCATTTTTTTGGGATATATATGTAGAAGTGAGATTGTTAGATCATATGGTAGTTCTATTTTCAATTTTTGAGGAATCTCCATACTGTTATTACATCAATAATGTAAAAGGATTCCCTTTACTGAACATCCTCATCAACATCTGTTATCTTTCATCTTTTTGATAATAGCCATTCTAACGGGTGCGAGGTGATATGTCGTTGTGGTTTTACTTTGCATTTCCCTTATGATTAGTGATGTTGAGCACATTTTCATATATCTGTTTGGCCATTAGTATGCCTTCTTTTGAGAAATGTCTGTTCAGGTCCTTTACCCATTTTTTTCATTGGGCTGTTTGTTTTCTTGTTATTAAGTTGTTTCAGTTTCTTCTATATTTTATATATTAACCCTTTACCAAATGTATGGTTTGCACATATTTTCTTTAAATATGTGGATTAAAAATGTATGGTTTGTACATATTTTCTTTAAATATGTGGGTTGTCTCTTTATTTTGTTAATATTTCATTTTGTAATTAAAGTAGACTTTAATCCATTTTGAGTTATCTTTACTATATTGTGTGAGAGAAGGGGCTAATTTAATTCTGCTTGTGGATGTTCAGTTCTCCCAAAACCATGTATTGAAGAGATTATTTTTTCCCTATTGTGTATTCTTGGTAACTATCAAAAATCAATTGACCATAAATGCATGAATTTACTTCTGGTCTTTCTATTCTGTCACTTTGACAAATGTGTCTGTATGCTATTGCCATGCTGTTTTGATTACTATAGCTTTGTAATACACTTTAAAATCTGGTAGTGTGATGTTTCCAGCTTTTTTTCTTTTTGCTCAGGATTGCTTTGGATATTCAGAGAATTTTGTGGTTTCATACAAATTTAATTTTTTTTTCTGTTTCTGTGAATAATAACATTAAAATTTTGATATGAACTGCATTGAATCTGTAAATCACTTTGGGTAGTATGGACATTTTATCAACATTAATTTTTCCAATCCATGAACATGAAATATCTTCCCATTTAATTGCTTAGGCTTTAATTTTTTCATCAATATTTTAGATTTTTCAGTGTACAGATTTTTTACTTCCTTGGCTCAATTTATTCCTAAGTATGTTATTTTTTGCTATTGTAAATGAGACTGTTTTCATAATATCTTCTTCAGATATTCTGTCATTAGTATATAGCAGTGCTATTGATTTTAATATGTTGATTTTATCACCTGCAAATTTCAATTTTACTGAATTCATTTAACGTTCTAACAGTCTTTTAGGTTGCTTTTGTAGACATTTTAGGGTTTTCTATGTATAAGATCATTTGGTCAGCAAACAAAGACAGTTTTACTTTTTCCTTTCCTGTTTAGATGACTTTTTTTTCTTTTTCTTGCCTAATTGCTCTGGCCAGGACTTTTAGTATTATGTTACATAGAAGTGGTGAGAGTGAGCATTCTTGTCTTGTTCCTGATTTTAGAGAGACGCTCTCAACTTTTCACCATTGAGGATGTTAGTTGCAGGCTTGCAATATATGACCTTTATTGTGTTGAGGAGTATTTCTGGGGAAATTGATCAGAGGGCACTCCTTTCCAATATTTAAAGAGGATCACAGTTTTGAATTATTTTTTAATGAATATATAAATAGTAATAACTTGTAATACCATACCAAGTTGAAAATGCAATTGCCATATATATTTATTTAATTAGTTCCTGGTTTTCAGCCTCTGGCAGCCCATTCTACACCAAAGGCCTTTGTATATGTAAATTCTAAGTCCCTCAGAATCAACTGCAGACCCTTCTAAAAGTCTGGAACATTCTTTATGAACAAAAGTTATTTTCCCACTTGTATTTGGAAGTTTGTGGGATTCCAGATTAAGTAAAGATTTTTGGAGAATGGCTTAAAGTTTACCTAATTTCCTTAAAAATACGTTAGATTAGAGTTCATCAATAATTTGTTCTGTCTCATAGTGTGATGGGAGACACCTAATGAGTATTGCAGTTTGACAAAGATTGCAATATTTTTTACATTTTAAAAATAAAGAATAGTGTTTATAAATATGAAACTAAAATGCAAACAGATTATATTTACTACAAATAGCACTTAATATAATTTTACTTAATATATTTTAATACAGAATTCCTAAAAACAACAAAATTTAGAGGTTCTCATTGGTGCCAGTTAGGTTATTCTGGAAGTTTTGGTGATTCTTTCAGACCCTTTTTAATGATAGAAAGTAAGTTGTAGGAGATTCAAATATTTAATTTGGTTTTCAAAATGACAAACGACTAGAACTAATTAAGCTCTTGGAAAACTCTAACTGTATTTACAACACAACTAAAATTGCATTTTAACATCTAAAAATAAATGTTATGTGACTTTGTCAAATTTATTTTAAAAGTACTCTAATAATTACCAGATAAACAAGTTTAAATGATTGCCAAAACAGTAAATGTAGCTGATTACGAATATTGAATGGTGGAATTCAATTCTTTCTTTAACCGATTTTTAGATTTTGCTATATTGCATCCACATCTATTTAATTTAACTTGCTAATGATTTGTGTTTAAGGTTGCAAACACTGATGAACCAGTTTTTAAAAAAAATATTTAGTATTTTATAAATGTAGGGCATTCGAGACAATACAAAACTTTTTATTTTAAAAATAAAGAAACTGAGGCCAAATTTATTAGGCTTATTGATGAGTGGAACCAGATTTTAAGTTTTGATATAGCACTCTCTCCAGTGTATCATTCAACTGTCATGCTAGTTGCATTGTTGAGCAGATAACTGCTTTGAGACAGCCTGTTACTGAATCCTGACTTTTCTTTTTCTGAGAGAATATTTTGGAAATTATCAAGTGAAGAAGGGGATAGCAGTGTTTAGACAATGCTCAGTTAACAGAGGAATAAAGTGAAAAACACAATGACTGCTCATAACAGAAAGGAAAACAATAATTGCTTAAAACAGTACTACCAAATGATTTTGATTCTATTTTTTATATATATATATTTTTTTATTTTAAGGAAAAGATTTAAACTTTTTTAAAAAAATTAGTTGGCTCTAGCAAACAAAAACTATTGACATTAAAAGAATAATTTGTGTTTTTAGGTTAGCAATTTGACTAACTATTCTGTTAATTGTAACATTATAACAAATATTTTAAAATCAACTTTTCTCCTTACACAATATTTATTTATATAAAGGCCTATATAGGTGTGAAGAGGCCATTACTCCACATAAACAATACACACTGTAATATAATTACCAAAATAAAACCAGAAATGATTTTATATTTCTAGAGAATCTTTAATATTGGTCTCATATACTCCTAAGATACCACTGGGTACATGCAAAAAATTAAGAAAATGGACTGCATGCATTTAGAATGAAAAAGAAATATCGAGGCACCAGGCCCTGATGATACATTAAGACTTCATCAGGATTTGCTGGACCAAATAGTCTTAAAATTGTGACACTTGGTGGAAGACACCTCTGGTTTAACACCTAAAATTCAATGCCAGTGACCATTAGCAGCAGTAACCTGAGCAATTTCAT